ACCTAGTTGCTCTGTACTTGGCTGTTACTACTACAGGCCTGGCCACACCCGACCCGGCTGCTCTGGGCCCGGTTGCTCCGGGCCCGGCTTCTCCGGGCCTGGCTGCTCCCAGCCTGTCAGCCGCTGCTCCGGGCCTGGCCGCACAAGACCCGGTTGCTCCGGGCCTGGCCGCTCCCGGGCTGGATGCTTTGGGCTTGGCTTCTGCTGTTCTGGGCCTGGTTGCTCCCAACCCGGCTGCTCTGGGCCCGGCTTCTCCGGGCCCGGCCACTCCGGGTCTGGGTGTTCCTGGATTGGCCATCCTGGGCTTGGCCGCCTCTGCCTCAGGGCTGGCTGCCACTGCCCCAGGTCTGGCTGCTCTAGTGCTGGCCGTTGATGCTCTGGTTCTGGCTGCTGCTGCTCTGGGGCCTGGCCACTGCTGCTCCGGGCCCGGCTGCCACTGCCTTGTGCCTGGCCACTCTAGGCCTGGTCGCCGCTGTTCCAACATTCTGTCCCTTTTTCTTTCTTTCTTTCTTTCTTTCTTTCTTTCTTTCTTTCTTTCTTTCTTTCTTTCTTTTTTTAAAACGCATTTATGTTGCAATGTTGGCTGGTGAGTTGAGTTCTGACTTAGTCTTTGATTTTTCAAGATATTCTTTGCATTCTTTCTTAAGTAATTTTACTATCATTTGCTCTCACTTGATTTCTTCACATTGAGAACTTCTATGGTTTCTTCCTCCTTGTCCTGGAATCTCAGCAGGTTGGCCTGTGGCACCCCTTTGTTCTCCAGGGGCTCCTGCGCTGCTTCAGCCTGTCGCCGGGGTTGGCGCCGCCCAGGAAACATCCCCGGTCCTTGGCTCCGTTGCCTGCGCTCAGCGGTCGATGGTTCAGGGGCACCCCCCCCCCTGGGGGCCCTGTTGCCCGGCTCCTTGCTGGCGCCCTGCTGGCCGGTGTCCAGCGGGGGCTCCTGCTCCTCGTCGAGATCCTCCAGTCTGGAGCTTTCTTTCTCTCTCCCGCTAGGGGAGTCCAGGATCAGAGTCAACAGACTGTCCTCTGCGCGCAGTGTGCGCGATTCCGGGGGCTCGGCCTTTCGCCGTGCTCCCAGGACTCCACCTCACAGCCCCGTCTCCCCCTGCCCAGCCTGGGTCCCCAGGGACTGGCCCAGACTGGGAGTTCGGGGCGGTCCGGTCTGAGGCTCAGCTCCGCCGAAGGCTTTATTTCTTCTGGCTAGGGTAATCCAGCATCAGAGTCAACATTCAGTCCTCTGCGCACAAAGCGCGCGACTCCGGGGGCCCCCGCCTTTCGCGCCGTCCCCAGGATTTCGCCTCACAGCCCCATCTCCCCGTGCTCGGGCCTGGGTCCCCAGGGACTGGCCCAGACTGGGAATTCAGGGCGCTCCGTTCTGAGGCTCAACGCCGCCGGAGGCTTTGTTTCTTCCGGCTAGGGTAATCCAGCATCAGAGTCTACATTAAGTCCTCTGCGTGCAAAGTGCGCGCGACTCCGGCCCCCCCCCCCCCCCCCCCCCCCGCCTTTCGTTTTTCCCCTGGGTTTCAGCCTCCCAGCCCTGTCTCCCCCTGCCGGAGCCTGGGTCCCCAGAATCTGGCCCATAATGGGGCTCAGCGCTGCCAGTTCGGGGGTTCAGCCCAGGCTGGGGGTTTTATTTCCTTCCTGCTAGGGTACGCCAGGCAGCATCCAGCCCTCTCCTCCTCTCCGGCTGCGACCTCTCCGTGCGCGTGTACGTGCGAGCGCGTAGCATGTCTCCGTACCTTAGGCTTTTTTTTCAGCTCCTCTGATTTTCCTTCTGGTTTTCTCCCACCTTCCTATTGTAGAGTTTTCAGTCAGTCAACTACCTGTAGGTCTGGGTAATGTCCACTCTACATTTTAGTTGTATTCCATTGAAATTGTTGTGAGCTGCTGCGATTAGGTGTCTACCGAGTAGCCATCTTGGATCCTCCCTGCATCCAGATGTACTATACTTAAATGTAGTGTATAGATAGCATAAGTAAAGATACATGTGTATATATTAAGTTCCACAGCACTTTTTCTCATTTTAGTCTGTTTTTTAAATAGAAAGCCTCTCAGCCTTTTTAATATTCACTCCTTTCTCTGCTTGCTTCACTAATAGTCCCTTGATTATTAGGGGTCCACATGCCATTTGGGTACTAAGAGATGTTGGTTTATTTTTGTGTGGGATACACCCTTCCCTAAAACAAAATACTCTGTCTTCAAAGTCATCCTTCTTTCATTGATGATTAGGATTCGTTGCTTACATTGTCCCTCACCTAAGTTGCTTCCTGCATTGAAATGAGTTTATTCTGGTCATTTTGATTTCTCCACTTGATCAGTGATTGTCTTTGATGACTCTTAAGGCCTACCTTTTTCCATAAGGAAATAATACAGGAATTGCCAGGCCTAATAAATTGCTATTTAAGAATAGTAATGGCTTTGTTTTCGCCGCAGTGTCAGTGAGCAAGGGTGAGTTTAGTAGGTGGAACACGTGGCAGGTCTGCAGAGTCAGGGGCAGAATCGGAGCAGTTTCCCAGCTGGTGGGAACTCCAGCTGTGGTCCTCTTCATCACAGAAGTGGATCTTTCTGCATCCTAGTCAGATATTTTCCTGTTACTCTGTCAACAAAGGGCAGAGCTGTTATTCCAAGGATATCTGCACATTCAGGGGACTCTACCACCTGCCGTTTTCTGGTACCTTTGCTCTGTGAGTGCTGTAAGTAAAGAGGGCTGGGCTGCACTAAGAAGCACTGGCCTTGGTAACAGAAAACCTGTACCAGATCCGTCTCCACCACGTTCCACCCCATGGCCTCCACAGTCCGCTCATCCCGAGTCAGGCTGTCCTCTGTATGACCATGCCCGGTCTCTTCCCGGGACAGCTCCAAGGTGGAGGGCCACTGGAGGCATAGGAGCTGACATTAGGTGTTTATTCATCCCCCCTGTTAGATGGTTATTAATTAACAATAGGTATTTATATGACAAGCAAGCTTGGTGATCCAGCTTGACAAAAGAGAGAGGCTGTGTTTGCATATTGTTACTAACTGCCTTACATTAGTCCAGGTCAGCGATTTTCTACCATTGTGCACAAGAATTTTTACAACATGCAGGGCCTGACTAGTTAGTGAGGGGCACTGACCTCTTTTCCCTTAAATTGTCAAATAAAAAATGACAACAGTCAACACAACAATAGCCATCTGATGTGAATGAATCAAAATTATTCTTATTTTTATTTTGGTCAGATTGGCAAACAAAAATTTTTTCTTGGTGTGCCACAGAAATTTAGTAATTAGTTTATGTGTACCATGGGATGAAATAGGTTGAAAATCTTTAGTCTGAGTTCTAAGAATCCTTGTCAGAGGCAGGCTGGGAACAGCTGAGAAGTTCCAGTTCCCCCTCCTCTACCTTCTCTTTCATGTATGTTATTATTTTAAATTTATAAAAAAAATGTAAATACTAACATATAAATTATTAAAGTCTATTTGGAAAATAAAGAGGACATTGCTCTGTAGCTGCATGAATATCTTGCTGTGTTTCTAGTCTAAACACAGGGACTTGTCTGATTTACTCTTTCTGACTATATGTAGTTGGATTCATACATTTGATGGCAGATACCTTTCCAAAGGAGCGTCTCTTGCATCCAGTATGAGATGGCTCCTGTGAAACAGGAGACCCTCAGGAGGCAGGTACTGGGCAGGAGGCAGGTACTGTCCCCGTCCCCTCCTCTGTGGAATTTTTGTTCCTAGTGCCATAATCATGAGCTTGGCCTTGCTGACGTGATATCCTCCATCCTCCTCTTGTCATCAGGGAATGGGTACCTGGCTCTCATGTCCTGTGCAGCTTTTACATGTGAGTGATGGCATAGTTATTGTGAAATGTTGGGTCACACTATTTTTGCATTCTTCACCAGTGTTTCCCGGGTGTACGCACTGAAAAGTGACTATTACACACAAATGCTCCCACTGAGCAGAGCTAAGGTGAGGGGCGCTCCGTGCAGGTACTTCAGGGAACCTTCTGTGACACGGGACCTGATGGCTGCCACCGTGTCCCCACCTCGTTTGGCCCTGCAAGCTTTTCTGCATGCACTGTTCTGCTGGGTTTTGTTCCTCCAGAGGGACTCGGGAAGTGCCCATAAGCCTACTGATCGATTTTCCTCTGGCATCCTTTGCTCTGTAGGAAATCTGAGGCTGGCCTGATTTTTTTTTTTTTCTGGTTAAATTTGTATAGGACTCTTTTTTGTCACTTATATAACAGTGACAACGACAAAAGAAAGCAGCAGGGCCTGTGCTCAGAGGGGGCTGGGTGTGCAGTCCTGTTGCAGAGATGGGGAGGGAGGAGCAGGCGGGACCTGGGCTTTGCACAGCAGGTCCCCCATCTCTGGTCAGGTCAGGCCTCGCGTCTTGGAATCTGCAGGAACACTGGGCGAGGAGCCGACTCCTGTCTTCAGGGCAGTTGGGTGCAGAGCTGTCATTTTCAGTCAGAATCTGCACAGTACAGGAAACTCGGTGGTACTTAATGCGTTGCCCACCTGGGTGGCTGGGGTCATTTTTAGCTGCTCTCCTAGCTGTAAACTCTTTCCGAGCCTTTCTGGAAGCCACTCACACAACAGGACTTAAAGCCAGAGCTGCTTTGTTTCCTTTAAGCTGCAGATTCATGGAGGTGACGGTGTGGTCTCTCACGCTGGTCCTCAGTGTGAAGGGTGTGCTCTTAGGGTGAAGGAAATGCCTTTACTGCCCTCACGGGTACGAGAATAATTTGATGTTAAAATGAAAGGACCTGGTGCTTTGTACTTCGGTTTTGCATAGAAATGAATCTTGAAGGTGAAAGACCTACTCAGAAATGAGCACCAGGGTGACAAGAACTAGGGCCTCGTAAGGGGCGTGTTTGTACAGGTAGCACTAGTACAGTAGTGAGAAAGGTGCCCAACACATCGCAGGCCTTTGTGTTAGCTTGTGCCGGTGTTTGCGGTCTGATGTCATCGATGGGGCCATAATTCATTTCCTTTTCTTTCTTACATCCTTGGTAGGTCAAACTGTGCTGAAAATATCCGCAAGCACATTTTACATACTGGCAAACACGAGGGGGTCAAGATGTACAACTGTCCCAAGTGTGACTACGGCACAAACGTCCCTGTGGAGTTCCGGAACCACCTGAAGGAACAGCACCCCGACATCGAGAACCCTGACCTGGCTTACTTGCATGCAGGTAAGAGCTGCAAGTCTTTCATATGTGCGGTTTTTAAGAGCACTTCATTTTATTCATCACAGCAGTTATGATGCAGTTTGTCCATTACCTTCATTTACTTTAATGTCTTAGAGTTCGTGACAGTATCTGCTCCAAGACTTATAACAGAGGACATTCTGGTCTTATCCCACACAACTATGAAACAGTCTAAATATGACAGAGTAATTATCCCAGTACTACAAAGTCAATAATAGCAAATACTCAAAACAGTTGAACTGACATTATAGTTGTTTGCGCGTCATATTTAGACTAATTGATAAAATTTTAAATTTATTTTCAAAAACAATTTCTGATTGAAAGTGTTATGCCTGGTCACTTTGGACCATGGTTTTCCAGTGAATACCTGGAAAGGAAGAGCAATTGACCAAGGAGAGAGTGGAACAGCGTGGGTGGGGGGTGCCTCGTTCCCAGGAAGTTAGGAGGGCCCTGATGCCCAGGACATGTTGGTGATGGCAGAGGCTGCTCCATTCTCCTAGCCTCATTGGATCTCATCAGGTACTCTGGAAGGATCTGAGATGTAGCACCAGCTTATGGTTTAATTAACAGCATGCCTGAGTGAGGAATCTTACTGTGCAGAAGTACAAAGTGATGGATATGAGTGTGGGCAACTATCTCAGGAATTTCTGTGTTTATGTCATATCCATGGGTACAGGGATGTTTTCGGCAGTGGCTTTGCGATCAGTTAGAGCTGCTTTTAGGTCTGTTTCTTTCTTATTGGCCATGTGACCACAGGTAAGCTGACCTCATCATACCTGAGATTTCTCATGTGTAAATCCATGTGGTGGTATCTCTTTAAAGCAGCAATTGCCAATATTTTGGACCTCACGGAACACCAGTGGTCCATGCACCATCAGTTGGCAACCACTGGTTTAAAGGATCACTGTGAGTTTAAGAAGTTAATGGCTGTAAAGCTATGATGCCCTCAGCACAGTGCCATCTATGCCTGGCATGACTGGGGATCCTGTGGGTGAGCCATGCTGGGAATGTGACAACAATGTCTAAAAGACATGGGACATTCCACCCACAATGCCACACTTGGTTTGCAAATATGTAAACACTTCTCATATACTCTCTACAATAAGAGAAACAGACTTGGTGATAATTTGAATTAGAAGAATATCTATATATTGGACAATGTCTGCATATAAGGTTATTGTAGTTTTCTGCTGATGTCTTATTTCCAGTGTCTTTATTTATGCTCACATAATTGACTTTTTAAAGTACTGGTAGAATTTTTAATTTAGTAATCTCTATTGTATCCAGGGATAGTTTTGAAAACGAAAAAGAAGTCAGTTGTCTGCATTTTGGTGATATTACTGAGGAGGTTTTGAACTGCACTGATGAAGTGAAATTGAAGCATCTTCTGCCATCAGTCCCTATGGGTTCTGCATTAATATGAGCACCTGACAGCAGATTCTAGAACTGCTGTATCTGAAAGGGCCAAGCAGAGCCAGCTCAGGTTGTGGTTGTCTGCAGTGCTGTTTTCAAGTCCTATCTGTGCCTCTTCTCAAGGTGCAGCTGACCTGTGCTATCTCTCTCATCCATGGCTCCAATTAGACATGAAAAGTGGGTTATTCCCCTAAAGTAAAGTATCACTAACTTTTAAATGAAGGAGATACCAGAGAAAGGGGGGAAGCTGCTTGGGGAAAATGTTCGCTTTGCCGTCCTGCACCAAAGGAGAACGCTGTGCAGAGTGAGAAAATGACCCTCCTTTCCTATTTATGGGATGCTTGGGTGTATACCCTACTTTTCTGTTGATATATTTATAATTCTGTTAAGAATGTTCTTCTGTATAAGTCATAGTAGCACTCCTCAGTATTTTCACAAAACAAAATCCATAGGTACATGTGGGTGTCAACTGTATATTCCTTCTTCTGCGAGGCAAATATTGCTCTTCAGTAACTCTTTTGCATTGGTTAAGAGAAAAATGTAAAATGGTAAATTTTTTAGATTGACTGAGTCTTCGTTCGGCCTTGTAACTTCATCATTTGTAATACATGTAAGGATGTGTGAAACGAGCCTTGCTCTGGCTTTAAGCATTGTGCCCCAGAAAGTTTTCTTGAGAATTCCAAAGGACAGACTTTGAGTTGTGCCTGGGCAGCGCAGAGGTGTGTTGCTGGGGGCGGGGGTGGAAGGTGGGGTTAAGCGGTAAGCTCCTTGCTTGTCTCCCCCTGGAAGACTCAGCAGTGGCCTGGCCACTTTCCGACAACAACCAGGACTGAAGTTGATTGAAGTATTTCAGGGTTTTCTCTGAGAAGCCTGGACTTTAACTGTATTAAAGGTGATGATCAAATTTTTTTCTCTTTTCAGAGGAAATTAAGCATTAAGTGAAGACATGGTATTTTCCTAAATTTCTGTTATTTTCCTGCTGTCATGGTTTTTTTTTTTTTTTAACATTTAAATTAATATGATTTTCATCAGTTCTTACACAATAAGACTTAAATCATTTAAACATATTCTTTAAATTATTACCTGAACAATGCTAGAGCAGATGAATCTGTCATACTTGCTTCACAAATTGGGATTTTCATATTTTCTAAGATAAGCAATTTTTTTAATTCCTTAGAACATATTATTTAACTGCATTTAACCCTCTTCCATAGCATTTTCCTCTTACCGGTTTATGAGAATAAGAATGGGAAAGTTTGAGTCTTATATCTAAACTCCAAATCTCTTTTCTTTCTAATGGCAACTAATTCAGAACCATTTAAACTGTACTTAACTGATTTCTTAATTCTCTCCAAATGTCTTACTTCATACGCAGGCAGATGAAATTTCATCTTCCACCTCTGAGCCCATTTGCTTAATTTCACAGTGAGGATGAAGCAGCTGCACCCTTTGTCTCTTCACCACCCCCTTGGTTCAGTGGGATATTCAGATTTCCTAAAATAAGTGATTTTCTCCATCATTAAGTAAAATCATTAGTCTTCCGATACATAGACCTTGGAGATGTAGTCTTCTTCCCATTCCCAGGCCCTCTATTTTTAACCCTGTTACTTTCTTCCCCTTTTGTTAGTTGGATGCTCTGATACAAGTCATGACATTTTGTATAAAAAATTCGTTTTGTGGAAAGATCCAAAAATCCTGGAAAATCTTGACAGTTTCTCATTGGTTCTCTCTTACCTAAACCAATTATTACTTCAACCTAAAAAGGAAGGAAATTTTTTCTGACAGAACCTTTGGTGAATCTGTGCTGACTCATTCCTATTAATGTGTACCTCCCCAGATGTATCATTAAGCTCATCCATAAGTATCATCTCAAATTTTCTTCCTAATATAGATGTTAGACTTGCAGTCTATAATTTTCAGCCTCTCCCCTCTTTCTTTTTCACCTTCAGACTGGATCCCTTGTTTTCCAGTCTTTGATACCCACTAACTAAAATAATTAGCAATTCAATAATTGCATTCTTTAACCTTAGTCACCATCCATGGGTTAATTTACTATCTTTCTGCTGCTAAATATCTTTGTTCCTTTCAAACTTCTGTCTAAATCTTCTGTCTCCTCTGTAAGTCTCCGTCCTCTGTATCCAGCATGTCAAGGCTCATTGGGTATTTTGGTAACTGGCTTTCTCTTCAAGTCTTTCTCACTCTCATTCCTGTTGGAGTTCCTAAGTTTAGAACTATCTTACATCCCTTGTAGTCAGTGGGCAAGCAATGTCAAGATTATCATCAACCACTTTTTCAGTAATATAATTGCTCTCTAGGATTATCATCTCATTGATAATCAACATTGTTTACTGGTAAGTTTAACAGACCCTCTGTATTCATCACCACCTGTATTTTGTTGAATTATTGCTGTAATCAGTTTTTTAAAACCTAATTATACATTCTTTTAAAAAATACATTTTTAATGATTTCAGAGAAGAAAGGAGAGGGAAGAACATAAATGATAAGAGAAAATCATTGATCGGCTACCTCCTGCACACCCCCTACTGGGGATCAGGCCCACAACCTGGGCATGTACCCATGCTTGGAATTGCACCTAGGATCCTTCCATCCATAGGCTGATGCTCTATCCACTGAGCAAAACCAGCTAGGGCTAATTATACATTCTTAAATATTTTAAAATGTCATCTGCCTATGAATACATGCTTTCTCTAACTTTATTGTGTCTAAAAGCTACCTTTATCTGCTTAAAAGTGTGGAGCAGGGGTAAGGAAATATTTGCCACCCCATGTCTATCTGACCCACCCTCTGCCACGGCCTTCCCAGGGCCCCAATGGCTATCCTATTTGTATCTACGTAGGGTGTTCTGTTTTAGGTGGTTAGAGTGTGGTACTAACTCTATTATTTTACAGTCATGTTTTGCCTTTTGAATTACAAAGCATGAAAGAGAAAAGGTAATAATTGTGTCTGTGCCAAACTTTTTTGCTAGGCCATTAAATCTTCCAAAGATGTCTTTGTTAGGAGCTATTCTGGTATTATTTCATGATTTTTTAAAGTAGAGCTTGAAGAGGTTACCTTGCCTGAGGGGGATGCATAACTTCATTGTGGCTCATTGAAGTTCATGCTTGTTTGTCTCTGAGAGTTTTCCAGTTGCACAGTCCTGCATATGCATGGGTTTAGAAAAGAGAGCAAATAGCACCTGTAGTTAATGAGATTCTTATCATGGAAGCCTTAACATTAAGGAGTTTTAAGATTTCAGATAATCTGTAAACATGTACTAGGAAGTAGCATGACATATACTACTATGATTTAACAAAGCACTAGACAAATGTTTTCACAGCTGTACTGCTGCTAGTGCAGAGCCTGGTGGATGATCGGACAGTGAACTAGGGAGTTTAGTGTCCTGAGATTATTGCTGTTGAGATATGTGACTTTAAGCAAGTCATTCAACCATTCTGTGATTGCATTCTCAACTGCAAAATGAATAACTGTGTTTAGCCTTTCTTTTGAATATGAGGTTCAAGTGAAATAATGCCTATGAAAGAGCTTTAAAAATTATCAGTATTGAGACGTTC